AGCCAGCTCTGTACCTGTACGCCCATCTTCTCAGAGCTCTAACTCAGCAGGTAATCTGAGATGTAAAAGCACTTTGCTCTTCCATGATCACTGCATTTGGCCAGCTCAGTCTGGTAGCACTAAGTTTCTTACCCTGCCTAGTAGCTCTCCAAATGATAATTTCACAAAGTTCATCATAGCAAGTTCTAGATGAGTCAAAGCCAGCTAAAGGAGTAGAAAATAATTTTTTTTCAGGTAAGCATTAATTACTGTATAATGCTAAGATACCTACAGTATATCCTTATTCTGCAATTGGGGAACCTTTTAAAACAAAAAAGACCAAGACGTTGCAGGAAGGGGTGTCTTGTCAAAATGAACACTGCCTCTGGGACTGGGAATGGGAAAAGGCAACTAATTACATTCAAAATCTACAGCAACTCTCATGCATTCCCTTTCCAAAGAGGCTTACTTTTTGCTTCTTCATACACTAGCATGGCAAAAAAATGAAGTGCAATAGCTAAATCTAGACAGAGGGTCTAAGAATGAAAACGTGAAAACCTCGGTGCAATCCAAGAAAATTCAGTTGAGCTGGTGGAAGAATTTTGTATCTAAGTATCAAGTGCATTTTTATTTTTTTTTTGCTGTTCACACTTTAGTTATTGCTCAATAACTATCAAAAAGAACAGAGGAATACTTTCAGTTTAGTTTTATTATATTATAACAGATCTGCAACTACAGCTTATTTCAGCCAAAACATTTTTGTATTCCAAACTCTTAAAAAATATCTACATTAATCATATTTTTCTATTCTTAAAAATAAAAAAAAAAATCTACCTAGCATACCAATGCTGCTACAGCACTTGAAAGGGTGCATTACTTTTGTAAATTCTACGGTAAATGTAATTACTCTTGCAGTCATTGTTCTTCCTTTTCTTCCTCTCAGCTGCTTTGGCTTCAGGTTTCAAAAAGTTTGTTAAAAGCTGTTCCAACTTCTGAAACCATGTCCGAGGCAGTCATTGAACGTCCAAATTTTTGAAAGGCTTGGTGGTTAGACTGCCTCGTAAGAGAGCAAGCTCCAAATGCAGCCACTAGAAATGGATTTTGACTAAAAGGAAAGAAAAAAAACCCAACAACAACCAACATTATAAACAAAATCTGAACACTCTTGTGTAATTCCTAAGGTAGTGGACATACTCTTTGTACCCAGACATGTTTGTCAGCACTGTTGGGAAGGCCTCTTAAGCAAAAACACCTGTGTTTCTCAGGCTCTTGCATTGCAGAGCACCTTTGGCTGAATTTTTTTTTTAACAAATACATCCCTTCCCATGGCACAGCATACGACTGAGTGAGAAACAGCACCAGAGCTGAAGGATGCAAAAGGAAAACCTGCTTAAAGGCTGCGTAAGAAGGTTGTTCCGTGTCTAGTTTTACCTATGTGAAACTTCTTCTGTTCCTTCAGAGGAAGACTGCAGTCTCACCTGGCAGCCTTGTTGCTCCCTTTCCTCCCCCCTCGCTGGGCAACTCTGTTTAGTTTTGGGGGGCAGGGGCTAGGGGAAGGACATGGGGATGTGGACAAGAGACCCTGTTTTTAACAGGGCCATAGTCGCTGCTCTGGGGCCTTCATTAGATCAGCTTAAAAGGGGTACAGTGACAGCTGCAGACCGCAATGGAAACGAAGGCACACACTTCATGCCTCCTACGTGTTTATGAACTGTACACCTAAGGGACCATACCCCGGCCTCAAGCGCTAAACCTCCCCCAGAGAAGGCAGCACAGCCCTGCCACCTCCAGAGCACCTTTTCAGGGTTGGGCCACAGGAGCTGCTTCTGCTGCCTTGACAGCATCAGAGCAGGGGAAAACCACCGCAGAATAATTTAGCAGCCAGGCCTGGGCTCCACCTCACAACGCTCAGCGGTGGCTGGAACATAGCTGCCTCTTTGTCTCTAAGGTCCCATTGACTTCTGTGCCAAGTGACAGTTTTGTGAAGGATCACTGTATAAAGCACAGGCAAAGCAGAAAGTTCAGTTTACGACCAGGGCAGCTTCAAGTATGTCTTCCTTGAAAACTGCAACTTCATACACTCATCAAGGTGCAGGAGGGAGTATTTAAGCCATCTTGAAAGTCAGTCCTGGATACCCAAATACTGCTCTGAAACAAGAGCTGTGCACCGGCTTCTGGGCTCCGGAGAGCTGAAGCACCTATTCCTAAGGTTTCTGCATAACCAGTTCAAAATACGCTGTACTCCAAAGATACCACCTTAGCATCCCACGTACTTAACAGGAGAATCCTATCTGCTATTAGCAGCCCTGAAAGCCTATCTTAACATTAAGCCAATCTTAACATTTCAAAACCCTGCTCTGCACAGACCCATTCTGAAACAACAGAGCCAGGCAGAAGTGTGGAAGGACTGGCCGGACTGCCCGCAGCGCGGTCTACAAGCTGATGCCCTGATTCACGAAACCCAAAAAGCTCCTCCTTTCCTGAAACACACGAGGCAAACAGGATCTGTACAGCAGGTGTGTGAGAAGGGTCACCTTAACGCCACCACAGGAGACACAACATATTGCTGATGCCAATTATGCTCTCCCACTTTTCCTTTATCTATAAAATAAAGGAGTTTCTGAGCAAGCTGTTTGGAAAAGCCGCAGGAGCCCAAGTCAGGAGAGTCTGAAGAACATGTTCTGCATTTGCTAATGTCTCCAACAATGTCATACTGGTCTGTTGTACACCATGCAAAAATGACGTGAACCAAAATGACTCCTTTAGTGGCAGCTACAACTTCAGATAGATACACATTCTTTGGTTTCACTGTTCATTCTGGGTATGTTCGATTTCAGAATTTTAAAGTCCGGTTCAGCTGGTGCCTCACTCATCCTGGGGGACCCAGTGCAGTGCTCTCACAGTAACACCAGCACAGACCAGCTAACTCCCACAGACGTCTAACTGTGTGCATCTGCATGGTGCCTCCAAAAGAGTACAAAAGGTCTCATCTCCTCAGGCTTCAACAGCTCATTACTTACTGGGAAGAGGGACTGTTATTCCCTCACTGCTTATGTCAGGGTTCCTTTCAACTTTATTTAAAGCAGCCACTTTCACCGAAGGACTACATGACTCTGTGGACCAACTAGTAGGATAGGAATTGACATCAATTCACAGAAGAGCCAACAGCCAGCTGCCGGTGTGTGGCTGTCTGATGTATGACCAAGCTGGACTGCCACTCGGCTCTAAAATGGCCGCCCTCTCGGAAATGCTATTTTATTTGCAAGTTTCAACTTACCTGAATTACCCCACTGAATTACTTAGGTCCAATGTAAGAGCATTCACCAAATTACAAAAACAAAGCTAAATAACACATTTTTTTGAATTACAGAGATGTTCCTGCCAGTGACTACCACTTATTTATTCTTCATACTTTCTGCCTAGATTCAGTTGTTTTGAAAACGCATTCCCCATAGACACATATATGGCCTTGGGCCTCGATCCAGGTTCACACTCTTCTGCCTCAAACTTGGGAGAAGTTAAATTACTGAAAAGTTTGTCTTATGAAAATTCTAACTATTATGTAGACTTTTCTAGAACACCCTTACATTTTTACAAGTACATGGATACCTTAGTCCTAATGACTCCAATTTCATTTGGAGAATTAAGAAGTTATTAATTAATATTCATACCCATTCGTTTTTTCTGCTCCAGCAAGAAATGCCCAGTGCGCTAAGACTCCAAGAGAACCAGAAAGGAGGTCTCCCTGTCCACCACATCTCCGGCTGCTTCCTTCGTGACTGCATACAAGTACTATGAACAGACAAACCAAAAACAGTCGTCATGTGCATTTTTCTTCTATTTACAATGATATCACCGTAGCTGTGAGGGTTAACCTCTGAGGCACGCAGAGATCGACAGGTAAGAGATCAACCACAGGCAGCAGCATATGCTGAAATACACTACTCTCAAAAAATACATTGCATTAACATTTAAGACATACTTTTCTAATTACTTTTCAATCCTTTACAAGTATCATTGCACAATGTATACACTTTCTCCACTTCACTCAGCCTGCACAGAAGATCTGGTCACTAATGAGATGAGTGATTGATGCAAACTGATGCTGCCAGAATGATCAATCACCCCAAACTGGACCAAAGCTACTGCACAAATGCAGGTCTCCAGAGTCTCTGACCTTCAGAATCTACAAATGTAAACCAAGGTGTTTTACAAACAGCAAATGCAAAATAGAACCAAAATCTGCAATATCTTCTGCTATGCCCATCAGAAAGGTATTTTACTGAAAACTGCCTTTTCCTTAGGCTTTGTAAAAACCATATGCAAAGAGTGACCTCTTTTTCTGCCAGTGAACTGTCCCCTCAGCATCTGTGTATGTTTCTGTCAGCAGTGTCACTGTGGATAGGCTCTGTCGGAATATCAGATGTTATACTTCTATTTTAAATATACAAAGGACCTTGATCAAACGGATCTCTTTGTGGAGCTTTAGCTAAGAACATGCAAATGGTTTCACTAAATTTAAAACTCCTTTGTTCTCCACTCTCAACAAGCCCAAGTAGGAAGCCTGAAGGATACCTAAGACACACAAAAAGAAAACAGCATCAGTTCTGCTGCCCTTCTCCAAACTCTCTTGTGCATATGTATCTATCCTTAGCTTTCCTTCTTGCTAGGCTCTGGAAAAAAAAAATCTCAGGAAAAATGTATTTTCCTCTCCTAGGAGAACGTAAGAGCTGGCAGGATCACTGGTGGCCAAGTAGCGATCCTTAGCATCTCCAGTCAGCTACTGCGGAGCTACGCAGGTTCAGGACTACACGCACAATGGTTTGTGTGCTCCTCAGCATGCCAAGTACACAAGCAAAGTATAAAGCAAGACGTTGCTCAGACAACAGCTCTTACCTCAATTTTCTCAATTCACTTGGGTTGGGTTTCTCCAAGGTGTATGAACAGAGGAGCCCAAGTGTTTGAGAGAGAGTAGTATCCCTATTTTTAAAAGCAATTTTTCTCTTACAAAATAATGGGAAAAATCTGGACGAAATTGAAGGACTTGCAGGTAAACCTTCTTAAATAGCAAGATGTAAAAAAACTACTTAGCACAAGCAAACCCTTTCCAGTTCATTTGCATGGTTCATTTCTGCTTTTTGTTACTTGGTGCAGCAAAGAATTGTACTTCACTTCTATTTCCTACCGATTCTTCCAGCAGTAATTGCTGGGCTCATGAGGCCAGGCAGTTGTGCATTTTTGCTGCCACTGAGAGGGCAAAGATTCATTAGTCACCATGAACACAGCAGACACTGCTGCAGCGTTGCCAGCAGTTAATTTTCCCAATCACTCTTCTCCCCTCCCCCCTCCCTCCCAAATTAAGATTCTGGACGTGTTTCTCAGGGAGCAGTAGTTAATGTCCAATTTCACAAGTGCAATGCTCTTCTGAGTTAGCGATTTGAAAAAGCTACGCCTTTTTAGGTGGCGTGGTTTATTTTATTTTATTTTTAAATACAGTGCTTTGGAGAAATTACCTCTAATTCTGCTACTTTGAAGATGGTATCTCACAGGATTTTCACTTTGAGGGCTTGAACTCCTGGCAGGGGGCAGGATGGAAATCCTCTGTTCAAAAGCTTTGGGGCCTTCTGACTGACAGCTGAGCACAAGCCCCTGCTTATTAGCTGTATGTCACCATCTGCCACCATTCTCTAGCCCCACAACCTTCCAGTCAGTTTTCAGCTATACACGAAAGCAAGATCTCCTCAAACTAGGCCAATTATAATACCCCACTACAAAAAAAAAAAAAAAAAAAAAAGTGGTCTTTTGTTTGTGGTTTTTTAAAAAGTAAGTCTCAAATATGTGCAGACTACCTCACAGGCAACAACAAAAGCAGACCTTTGTACTCTGCACAGAGATGCTGCAAAACAAATCCACGCAATAGCTTCAAAGAAGCAGAACTACAGGAAATTCACTTGAATGAGGGGAGAAAGGTATAACGCTCAGGCAATTCTTGCGCAAAAGCTCAGTTCCTCAAAGAATATCTCAAAATAAAAGGATGATGAACATCAGAACAGGTGATGGGAAAAGGAATGAAAAACTCCTCTGAAGTATAGTCACCGTTAAGAGCTTTTAAAATAAAAGCAGGAATCCCACACTACCATCAAGACAAACTGGCATACTGCCAAATCCACAAAGGACAAATTCTTCCTGATGCTTTTCCCTGCCTGCTCCTGGAAGAACAAAAATAAAACTGCTGTCTTCCCACTCCCCCAGTCCAACATCCTCCACTACACATCTGTGACCCGCTGTGAAGACAGCTCAAGCAGTTCTTTACAGACCACAGGGGTGACATCCTTATATGCTGCACTGAGCAGTGACAACCACTGGCAAATGTTACAAGACCTCGATTAGATGGACATGACTGAATAGCCAGTGACGATGCCGAGAAGGCAGGCAGTTCTAGTCCCTGGAGAGCTGCAGAATGATGTATTTACACAAGGATGAAGTATTTTTCAGTCTATTGCTCAGTGAGGCTATACCACCTTCAACTAACGATGAACATGTAGATCGGAAAGCCTACAAAACATGGTTCTTGGAACAGCTGAGGAGTCCAAGACAACTGGATGCTGGACAACAGGGAAACTGCAAAGACTGAAATCACCACAATGTGTCATCCTTAACAGGCAGCAACTGAGGCCACTTAAGGTCAATTAGTCTGACACTAGTCCCAATCAAAGTAATGGACAGGTTCATCTATAGTTCAGCTGACAGTCCTTAAGAGATAGAAACACATGACTAATGCCAGTCAAATTGGCTGCTGGGGCTGGGTGTCTTGTTTTGGTTTTTAACAGGTCTGGACAACCAAATCTGCTGTCATTATTTCACAGGGTGATGAGTCACACCCCCCCAAAAAAAAAACCCCTCAGTATACTCAGTATAATTGATAGACAGCCTTTTAATGAAAATTGATTTATGCTAAGTAACTTTCTGGAAAAAACCACCAAAACCAAACAAATCCCAGCTCCCTAGCACTTACCCATGGGGCATACATATACTATCATAAGAAAAGGCTAAATGAAATAAAAATACTATTGTTGAAAAAATCGCTGTATGAAGTATGGCAAGGAGATCTGCTAGAGTCAGAACAACCACAGCCCTATTCAATAGTTTCAACATAATCTCAGTGATTAAATAGCACATAAATACTGCCAGAGCTGCACACAGCAAATGCAACACGTCCCTCACGTATAGTCACCCAGATTTCTTGCGTACCTAAGTCCATGAAAACAATTTGTACTGAAATATGAGTGCAACAGCAACAAAAAAAAAGAAGGTTGTCATACTGACAGAATATTGGAAAGTAGACATTCCAGAGTTTTAGACTCCACACAATTCAAAACTCTGCCCCAGACTGCCTGAGTAACTATGGCCAAGTCATTTAGTAGCTCTATGTTTAATACATTTCAGGCCACAAAATAAAAGTTACAGTCGCTCCCCCTTTTCAGCAGTCCTTGAGGATAAGATAAACATTAGCATTTGGGGAAGCACTCAGATCATGGTGTCAACTTTTAACTATACCATTGCCAGCAAGTTTTAAGCTCAATGAACTGCCAGCCCAAACTCTGCTGGCAGATCAAAGCCCAGAAGAATGACCCATTTACGTGTACTGTATGCTTAATTAAAAAACCCAGTCTGTTATGTAACTGAAAATAGCTGTCCTCTCTTTGAAGGAAAAAAAAAGAATAAAATTTAGTAGTTTTGTTGAGATCAAGCACTACGAGTGAACTGGGAAGCACGAATTTTGACGTGGCTGTGCACAGGCAGCCCTACTTACACCACTAGCTCCTAGACACATTACAGTTAGAAAACCAAAGGCCCACATAGTATAAAAAGTAATCTATGTCTGTGTGTTCTTGATTCACAATATTCATAGTAGTGAAAAAAAACCCCACAAAACAGGGATTAATCTTTGATGTTTTTGTTTAGAACACAGAATGTGAAATATGGGCTAGCTAAAAGCTAACCACATAATGCCAATGATGATAAAGAAGGCCAAAGAGCCTATGTGAAACATCACACTTATTGAGGCTGCAAATCAAAAGCCAGCCTGGAGATAAACTTTTAATTCTTGAACCTCAGATGTCCTGAACAAGTTCTCTGCACTTGTCTTCCTCTTACAAAGCAGGAGTATTACACTTATCCTAACGCGCTTAGGGATCTGTGCATCAAAGGTACCACCATTCTGACTTCTGATATGCTCCAAATGGATTAGATCAGCTACCATCAGCTACCCCACAGAACAACAAATAGTCTTGTTTAATTAAAAGGCTTAAGATTTCAATTTTCTATACAAAATAACGTAGCTATCAAGGACCATTTTGCTCTATCAAATGCAAGACTCAGGTTTAGACCATTATCAGATTTGAGTAAAATCTTTTGCCAGTATACATCTCTGAGCTGGCAGATATTCATACTAGTAAGAAATTTATCTTTTTCCTTTTGCAAGTTAGTTCACAAAAGTACATAGCTGGAGATTGTGGACTCCCAGAAACATGTCCCAGAGTGCATACAGACAGGGAAACCAGTATTAATGACTTGGGCTGGAGAAATCACTCAACTGATGTGGAAAATGTAAGTTGGCTTTTATATAAAGGGTGCTTATACTTTTATATTCCCTAATCACACTTTTAAAACTTAGATAGGTCCTTGAGTGTGAGACAGCAGGCAATTTAAGTTAAAAGAAATTAATCCAAATTGTACATTACTTTTCTTGGATTGGTGCAGAAGCCAGGGGACGGATGTGATGGTGGATGAGCAACACTAGGGAGACAGCAGGCTGGGCTGAGCATGCAGCGGAGAGCACAGGCACCGTGGACTGGAACCACGACCTCCCTGTTTTGCTCACTCTGCAGAAGCAGGACTGGAGACAAAGGTACTGTCTCTCAGTTAAAATCTTGGCAAAATTTGCTGGGCAGCTGGACACCGTAAGAGCTTTTAGCTAAGTGAGCTAGGGACTGACAAGCACTGAATAGCTTCCTTTCCGGCTGTATGGGGAACAAATGGCAGAAATTCTAAGTACTGCTTGGGGATTTCTGGCAAGAGCTGGCTTTTTACTCCATATTCAGTATTCAATAATCCCTCTCACATGCTTCTTTGCTTCTCTTGACCATAGCTGCAGCTGGGCAACTGGAGAGAAACTATGTTTGGCTACTGGCTCCAGCTGAAAGTAGTCACAGGCAGCAGCGTGCTGGTTACCCATAAACTCTGCCTTTTGAAAGGCAGGTGCAGGGGAAAATACAGAAAAACTCATTATAACATTTAAAAACAAAAATCCAAATCCTCTACTTCAAGGACCTAACCAAATTTTAAACATGTTAGGAACTAAGACTGGTATAACCACACTTTATTATTGACCAGTTCTCCAAAGAATAATAAAAAGAAAACCTTAGAGAGCTGTGCCATAGTGAATAAAAGCTGACTTACCTTTTACCCACAGGCTGAGTACTCATTCCTACCCTGGTCAGTGATGGCACTGATATCACCTACCAAGAGCATGGTGAAGCTCATCTTTGTAGAGCAGGGAATCAACAACTGTAGACCAAGCTATAACGTGAAATTGCAAAAGGAAAGAGAAAAAGAGTATATAAAACTTACTTTAAAACCTTGGTGATTATGTTTACAGGGCAGTTGGCAGCTCATAACTGAAACGGAGACAGATTTTAGAAAAACCTCCTTTGCAGTGTAAGACTGCTACTGATTTCAGAGAGGCCACGGACATGATTCAGTACTGATTTTAAGGCCATAAGAAACCACCTGCATCATCTAATCTGATTCATAAAAACAAACATGAAAGATGTCCAAGTACTTTACAGTTTGGGACTCTGATGATCAAAATTCTAGGTATGTTATTGTCACAGCTAAATTTGTCTGTTAATAAAATCTGCCTTACTTTTAATCTGAATTTATTAAGATTCAGCTTCCAATTCAAATTTATGGTGCCTGTCCTGCTTAGATTACAGAGCTATCTGCTGACAGTAATCCTTCACCAACAGCTGTACTTCCACCCAGCTCACTATCAAATCACCTCATAACCCTTTTTGTCTTCAACCAACAGAAGTAAATTGGCTACTGAATTTCCTAGAGACTCACGAATAAAAGTATTGTGAAAATAACCATCATAATCACTCTAAGCTATAAAAGTGTTCACCAAGCCAGTCTTCCTTGTTGCAAAATTCTGCATTCTCTGGAAGCCTTTCTTCCACAACAGCCAAGTGTTGAACACTAAAGCTACATTGTTAAGTTTGCAATTTCTCATTTTCTTGGAGAGCATTGAGACTTACTTTTTTTTTTTCCCCTCCCCCAGAAAGCATGCATGTAGTATATTCCCAAAGGAGAAAGTTTAGAAGTGATATATGGAGACTACTGTATCAGTGAGCTAAGCACATGAGCTCAAGCAGGAAATGCCTGAAAATGGGTATGGCTTAAGCACTACAAACAGATGATGATATGAAAAATAAAAGGCAAGAGGAGTACACAGATCTTTTCATAATATTTGACTATGCTCAGAAAACATTGGCCTGAACTAATGATCTGGATTTCCCTCACACTGGAATCATCATGTATGTTGTCTCAGCTGAAAAAAATAACATCAGATCAAAAGAACAGACAGGTGAAAAAAGCAGAAGTTAAGAGCAAAAAACCTGGGAAAGAATTCAAGGTCAGTGACATGACAACTTGTTCTGTGTTCAGGCACAGAGCAGACGGTAGAATCTCCTTTCTCAATGTAATTTTGCATTTGAGAAGCTTTTAAAAAATTGACTGACAGTAACTCCCAGATCCAAAGAACGTTCTTGTTAAAAGGAAGCTAAAGTCTATAGTTTCTGCAAAATTCTAAGGAACCTTCTTGCAGGCAACACAAACCCTAAAAACAGCATTTGTAACAGACATTATTAAACCTGTATTAAACCTGACAGCTGCTTTCTTACAGCTCAGCAATGCTGCCTATAATGTCTGTAATCCAGGAGAGAGAAAGCATCGGTGATAGAACCAAGGTAAGAACAAGAAAGCAGCCTATAGCTGGACATCAAATAACTGCTATAAAGGCACAGAACTGTTCTTATTTCAAATCAAAAAGCCACTTAACTAAGAAAAAAAAATATCAGAACCCAACAGAGACAAAGAACAAGGTGGGAAAAAAATTAAAACCAACAAAAAGCCCCAAAAGACATACACCAAACTTGTGCCACACCTGAACATTCAAAATTGAAATGGGAAAGAGTTTCAGTTGTTTCCTGGTTTTTGAATCCTGCGTGACAACAGACAACGGTGACAGACCGTCCCCTCTCTCCCGCAGTGGTGGGGATACACTTATCTCAAGAATAACAGCTCAGAAGGAGAACAGAGATATACTAGGTAATGTCCTCAATCTAAAGCACTCGCCCAGTTTTCCCGACATTCATAAAAAAAGCAACAATCCTGCATAAAAAGAACATGGTTGACATAAAAACAGAGGAAGAAGATACACTACAGTACTCTAAAGCTCTCTAGCTGGCATAAACCGGAGCCAGGATATTTAATCCTCTGGCAGAGTTCATCCTCCCTTAAGCCTGGCCTGACTGTCCAAGATTACAAATCAAGCCTGCTATGGGTGCAAGAATGACAGCAGACTTCATGCAGGCCAACTTGGGTACTATATGACCAACCAAAGTCCTTCAGCACACGGGCATAACTATATTGCTTCCAGGTCCCAGCTTGTTTCACAGTCTGCTGTAGTACCTGTACTAATGGGGGTATGTGGAAGGTGGCTCTGCACAAACCAGTTGCCTTATTGCATCTGTTTTTCTGGTATAAAAGACTCCCATGGCTCCTAATAATGAAAAATTGACTGTATATACCAAACGGTTCTGAAGCAGCATAAACATTTATCAGAGAGATTAGCATTTCAAGCAATTAGAGGCAGAGCTGCGCCTTGTTATGTGTGTGAAATAAGACCATGCAGTGAATGCACTCATGAATTAATTTTATACTGATCACAGTAAATGATCAGTATAAAAAGCATCAGACAGGCAGCTAATTTTATTAAGAATACTTTAACCATATTTATAAGTGACTCTTTTAAAAAGTTGTAATGACAATCTAGAGTTAATTTGGTGGGGTTTTTTTGGTTTTGTTTTTTAAATTGTCAGGGCTAATGTACAAGTCATATATGTACATGCTAATCTACAGCCCCATGGCAGACAGTATGAAAGAACTCAGCAGCTCATGAACCTCAAGACATCTTCACTTTTCACACACACCGATATATGGTGAAACAACAATATTAGTCTGCATTAATTTAGCAACAACATCGGCACTTATATAGACCATCTCAGCTAAGGATTTTAGAACAGTTCACAAAGATTAAAAAATTAATGTCTCAATACCTGTGTAATGTAAAACATAAGTTATAGCCATTTAAATGAGAAATAAAATCAGCAACTTTTTTCAGCAAATAAGTTGCACTCTTAAAACATCAATTTACACAAATCATCTAAAGGTGATCTGCAAAGACAGTCATACCTCGCCTTCAGTCTTCAGGGGAATACAGTCAATCAATTACTATATAGTCCAACCACTGGACTATGACTGAAAGCAAACAAAACAAAAAAAAAATCACATTGGTAAAAGCAAAAGGCTTCACTTACCTTTCTCTCCATCTGAAATAAGATCTCTTTCTCCCTTTTGAACAATTGTCAAATTCCCCATGGCTTGGCTGAGTCTTAATACACATCCATGATGATCACTACTGTCTACGGGGTCTCTAAGCTATAACACAAGAATTCCATACACAGTACATATTTTACTACTAGAACAACATACTCTAACACATGCTACTTCAGCATATGGGCAGGGGGAAAGGGGGAGAAAAAAACAAAGCAGCAGTATCAGTCTTTCCAGGTATTTTTTTCTATACCCTCTGCAATGCCAAAAAATGCATAAGAAAAGGTCTTCTTTAAAAAAGAGCTCTGTTTAAGAATATGCATTGTTGTGGTGATTATCCCATGGAATAAAACCCCAGAGAATGCTGCTTTTCCATATAAGAAACAGCCCATAACATTTAAGCCAGTAATAAGTTGTTTATTTTTAAAGACTAAAAGACTAAACTTGCATGTACTTAAATATCAAAAAGGAAAACAGCTCACCATGGCTTCATACAGTCTACTAAACTCCATATAGTTTGGAGTAAGAATAGCTCGCTGGTAGCCTTGAATAAGAGAAGGCTGCTGGGAAATGAGCCACAGTCCATCCTGCAAAAACCAGTAAGAAGAACATTTACTGAATAGATTCTTAAACGTGAAACCACTGACTGAATCAAGAAAATACTTACGGCATCAATAATGATAGGAATTCCTTTCACTTTTGATTTTTCTATAATACCCTGCAAAAAATGCAGATAACCTTAAGATACTTGCTAATTCAAATCTCGTAAGATCCAAAACAAATTCATACAATAAATTTGGTCATAAGTTGTTTTTACAAAGTAAGATACAAAAAAAAAAAAAAATCCGTTATATTCTGCAAACTAACATAAGACATTTTCATATCAACTGGTAATTTTACAGTTACATTGTTCTCTCCCTGGTTCAAGTACAAGAAGTGTGAATAGGGTTTCCCTAACTGATGTCGTGGTGTTGATATGCATGCAAGCAAGCAATCTCACCTGCTCTCCTTGGTGTTGGAGGCATGCAAGGTCAACTAAGTCATACATAGTAAACATACATCTCCAATTAAAAAAAAAAAA